TTAAGGGCATCCAAATAGGAAAGGAAGAAATCAAGCTCTCACTATTCGCAGATGAAATGATCCTATAATTAGAGAACCCTAAAACCTCTACCAAGAAACTGCTAGAAATGATAGACTTGCATACTAAAGTTGCAGGCTATAAAATCAATACCCCAAAGTCCATGACTTCCCTATACGCAAATAGTGAGAGAGAAGAAAATGACATGAAGAAAACAATCCCATTCACAATTGTACGCCAGAAAATCAACTACCTACGAATTAGTTTAACTAAAGAAGTAAAGGACCTGTACAAAAAAAAACTACAAAATGCTGCTTCTTGAAATAAAAGAGGATGTGAGGAAATGGAAAAATATTACCTGTTCTTGGATCGGGAGAATTAATATTGTCAAAATGGCAATACTTCCCAAAGCACTGTACAAATTCAATGTGATCCCTATTAGGATACCCATGACATTCTTCAAAGAAATGGATCAAACACTCCTGAAATTTATATGGAACAATAAGCCCCCACGAATAGCTAAAGCAGTTCTTGGGATAAAGAAAATGGGAGGAATTAACCTCCCGAACCTCAAACTCTACTACAAAGCAGTAATAATTAAAACAGCATGGTACTGGAACAAAGGCAGAGCTGCAGACCTATGGAACAGGGTTGAATATACTGACATCTCCCCTTAAACATACGATCATCTAATCTTTGATAAAGGGGCAAGAAATGCGAAGTGTAGTAAGGAAAGCCTTTTTAACAAATGGTGCTGGCAAAACTGGACGACTACATGCAAAAAAACTGGGCTTAGATCTCTGCCTAACACCATGTACAAAATTAAGATCCAAATGGATCAAAGACCTCAACATCAGACCGGAATCCATAAGGTACATTGAAGACAAAGTTGGCAAAACCCTCCATGACATTGAAGCTAATGGTATCTTCAAAGATGTCATGCCACTGGCCAAGCAAGTGAAAACAGAAGATAGACAAATAGGACTATCTTAAACTAAGAAGCTTCTGCACCTCAAAAGAAACAGTGACCAAAATACAAAGACAGTCTATAGAATGGGAAAGGATATTCTCCAAATACACATCCAACAAGGGGTTGATATCAAGGATATACAAAGTACTGGTTGACCTGCACAAGAAGAAAACATCCAGCCCCATCAAAAAGTGGGGCAACAAAATGAATAGAGACTTTCTCAAAGAAATCTGAATGGCTAAAAGGCACATGAGAAAATGCTCTACATCATTAATCATCAGGGAGATTCATATCAAAGCAACAATGAGATATCATTTCACACCAGAGAAACTAGCCCACATTCAAAAGAACAAAAGCAACCTGCATTGGCGTAGATGTGGTGAGAAAGGGACCCTCCTTCACTGCTGGTGGGAATGCTGACTGGTGCAACTCTTTCGGAAAACAGTATGGACGATTCTCAAAAAATTAGAAATTGAGCTCCCATTTGACCCAGCAATACCACTCCTGGGAATATACCCCGGAGAGGCTAAAAAAGTATAGTCGAAGTGACATCTGCACTTGTTTATTCGTTGCAGTACTGTTTACAATACCTAGAATATGGAAAAAACCTGAGTGCCCAAGAACAGATAACTGGTTAAAGAAACTTTGGTACATCTACACAATGGAGTAATATGTAGCTGTTAGAAAAAATGAAGTCATGAAATTTACATACAAGTGGTACTACATGGAAAATATCATGCTAAGCAAAATGAGTCCATCAGAAAGAAAGGGACAGCCGTAGAAAGATTGCATTCATCTGGGTAACATAAAGTAACAAAATAAGAGACTAACACCCAAGAACAGCTGTGATAAATACCAGGTTGTTCACTCCATGTCTTAGAGGCCAGCTGCACACTCTAGGGGTAAAGGCAGCTCAGATAGAGAAGGGAGCACCAAATAAAGGGTGCTGGGAAGATCCGCCCAGGATGGGAGATGCATGCTGAAAGTAGTCTATAGACCGAACATGATTGCCACCCAATGTCTCTTCTGCAGACCACAGCACTCAAAAGGAGAGATAGAACAAAAGGAAGTGCCCTGCCACAGAGGCAGGGTGGGATGGGGGATGGGAGGGTGGGAGGGATACTGGGATTGGTGGGGGTGGTGAATGGGCACTGGTGGTAGGATGGGTTCTCCATCATTGTATAACTGAAACCCAAGCACAACAACTTGTAAGTCTACAACTGTACCTCATGTTGTCTCACTAATAAAACAAAAACAAAAACAAAAAGAGTTATAGAGTAAATATTTTTGCCCTTGTGACCTGTATCATCTGTTGCTATCTGTAACTTGGCGATTGAAGAAAAGCAATAGACAATTATGGACATATCTGTGTGAGTGTGTTCAATAAAATTTTATGTACAAAAAAAGAAATACAGGGGGCTGGAGCAATAGCATAGCAGGTAAGGCATTTGCCTTGCATGTGTCCGACCCAGGTTCAATTCCCAGCATCCCCTATGGTCCCTTGGGCAGCACCAGGGGTAATTTCTGAGTGTAGAGCCAGGAGTAACTCTTGTGCATTGCCAGGTGTGAACCTCCACCCAAAAAAGGCAAAAAGCAAAAAAAAAAAAAAAATAGAAAAAGAAATATACATGGCCAAAAGGCACATGAAAAAGTGCTTCACTTCGCTAGCAATCAGGGAGCTGCAAATTAAATCAACAATGAGATATCATCTCACACCACGGAGACTGGCACACATTCAAAAGAACAAAAGCAACCAGTGCTGGTGTGGATGTGCTAAAAAGGGACACTCTTTCGCTGTTGGTGGGAATGCTCACTAGACCAGCCTTTCTGGAAAAGTATATGGACATCCCTCAGAAACTAGAAATTGTGCTTCCATATGACCCCACAATACCACTTCTGGGAATATGTCCTGAGGATGCTGACATCTGTACCTATATGTTCATTGCAGCACTGTTCACAATAGCCAAAATCTGGAATCAACCAAAGTGCCCTAGAACAGATGACTGGTTAAAGAAACTTTGGCACATCTACACAATGGAATACTATGCAACTGTCAAGACAGATGAAGTGATGAACTTTGCTTTTAAATGGGTAGACATGGAGAGTATCATGCTAAGTGAAATGAGTCAGAAAGAGCGGGACAGGCATAGAAGGACTGCACTCATTTGTGGATTATAAAACAACATAACAATAGGCTGACACCTCAGGATAGTAGATACACAGCACAGATAGATTGCTCCATAGCTGGAAGATTGCCTCTTGAGCAAAGGGGAGAAGGCAGCTGGAATAGAGAAGGAATCACTAAGAAAAAGATGGCTGGAGGAATCGGTCGGGATGGGAGATGTGTGCAGAAAGTAGATAAAGAATCAAGCATGATAACCTCTCAGAGTCTGTATTGCAAACCATTATGCCCAAAAGTAGAGAGAGATTATGGGGAATCATGTCTGCCATAGAGGCAGGGGGAGGGTGGGAAGGGGGGAGTGTACCGGGGATATTGCTAGTGGGGAATGAGCACTGGTGGAGGGATGGTTGTTTGATCATTGTATGATTGTAACCCAAACATGAAAGCTTGTAACTATCTCAAGGTGATTTAATAATAATAAAAAAGATATCTCCATTCCTTTGAAATATCTCTCCACTTTTAGGGCCTTACATTTTTATTGTTTTTGATAGCATATGAATTCATCCATACTTTGCTATTATCAAGTCATTAAGAATGAGAATACACAACTTTGGTTTATCATATCATTAATATTTATTATACTTACTGAGAACCCATCAGGATTTTTTGAAGACATAATAGTTGTTCTTAATCTGCCAGTAAACCTGTCTTTATCTAGAGATATTTTATCTAGTATTTGTTATGGGGAATTGTTGATATATAACTATCTGCACATAAATCTCTTGGACTGTATAGTTTCTTTCCCTTTCTGTGTCTTTCTTGCTTTCTAAATAAAACTACTACTTGACAAATATTAAAACTGTAATACCTTTGTTGTTTGCAGTGCTGGGACTGAATCCAACACCTCCTACGTAAAAGACAACTTCTTCTCTGCTGATCTACATCATCCTTGGCCCTCGCATTACTTTCTTTGTGCCATTTTATTTTATTTGATATTTGATGCTTGAGAGATTATTGGAAGCTATCTTATATAAAATATTTTAAAAATTACAAATATTACTTCGTTGTTTATTGCTGCCTTTTGCCTCTCCAAACCCTAGTCATTTATGTGTGGATGACTGGGGGTAGGAGTGGGGTGAGGAGGAGAACTAAGCTGAAGATGATAAAAATTGATAAAATTTTGTTCTAATAGTTTAGTTTTTGATATTTTGGACATTATAACACATTTCATTTTGTGTTTTATTAGGTAGCTATGAATATACTTACTTTCTTTGTGGCCTCATAGAAAGCAAAGGCTATTTTTGGCAGCTTTGTACTTCTTATAGCACTGTTCACAGGACTTTGCCCCTTATGTCTATTAAATCACAGGGTTTCACACCCAGTGGTGCTGAGAGGCTACTTCCAGCTCTGTGTCAGAAATCACTGGCAGCAGTCTTCAGGGGACCATGTATATCAGGGGTCAATCTGGAGTCAGCCGTATGCAAGACACGCACCTTAACCTCTGTACCATATCACCAGTCTCAGTAAATTTTTTTAAATAGATGATTTTAACCCTTTATCTAAACTAGATTTATAGATAAGTCAATAATGAAATTTCTTAAATGATGAATTAGGCAGTCATTCATAATTAGGCATTCATTCCTACTACAGCTAAGTGTCTTTAGGCAAATGGGCCTAGGTTTGAGTTCCTCACTCATTGTGTATTAATCATGGGACTGCCTCATCTTTATAATTGGACTGCTAATAATGTTGGCCTTGGTGAGACAAGTCTTGTTGGACTCGACTCTTGAGTACCTTGAGAGCTGATCGTCAGGTCTTTCATAACATTTGCATATAACCTTGCATATAATAAGTACTCAGAATACTTGCTTAAATTGATAAACTTACCCTGTTTTTATTTCCCATTACAGCCCACTGTTTGTAACATGGAAGATTGGACGAGACAAAAGATTGCGTGGATGCATAGGTACTTTTTCTGCCATGAACCTGCATTCAGGACTCAGGGAGTACACACTTACCAGGTGAAGACTAATTTTTTATTACCTCTGCTTCTACATTTTAAAAAAGTTTATGAAAACTTGAAACTGAGCTTTTTTAACTTCTTTACATCTGCTGAATTGTTGACTTTCTTGCCTATTTTTAAGAGATTTTTCTTCTCTATGATTCTCTATGACCATTATCTTAGCTCTTTAGAAAAACATATTTTATATGTATTGTTATAGAATGTTGTGATTACATGTATTCTGTTCTAGATGTTTTAGAGGTTTTTTCCTTTTTAGTAGATATTTCATTTTTTATAACTTAAAAATCAATGACCATTTATTACCAAAATGTATTATTCCACAATGAGCAATCATTGTGTTTTTTTTGTTATGCTTTTAAAAAATTGTTGGTGTCTCCTTTTCCTAACCTTTTTGTTACACTTTTCTGTACTTTGAAATTACAGAAAGAACCCAGGAAAATTGTGATGCCACAGCCTGGCAGCATAATCATTCACATTCACACTTTACCCAGAATTAATTGTAGCTTACTTATTTTGTTTCATTTAACACAATGACAAACTAATGAGTGCCTCATTACAGTTCTTAAAACTGTTCTTAATTTCTGAACTCACAAAAACTATCTAGCATGCCATCTGATTTTTTTGTTCAAGTGTAGATTTCTGGTAAATTATGTTCTGAAATTATTTCAAAAGAAGAAAATTCCTTAAATAATAAGCTATTAGTAAAAGAATTTCCTGTTTTTGTTCATATCTTAGGGTGATTATCTGATACAGTTCCTATAGTTGTGTTATTCATAGTGTGTTCAACAGAAATTGGTCCCTGATGACTGATAACCTGGGAGCAAGGTGCTTTTCCTCTGATATATGAAATTTGTAATTAATGGCATTTTGTTCTATATGCTTAATAGGGAGGTTATAGAGATGTTTGGGAATGAAGTATAATAATCACTTTGTTTTAGGATTAACGTTGCAGACTGTTATATAGAACTGCATGAATGCAGCTTATTGAATCAATAAATAAAATACTGATTATTGTGCTTAATATACTTGAATGTGTAGCTCACAGCTATAGGGTTTTCTTAGCTTACAGTGAAATTCAGAATGGCATAAGATTTGATAGTCATATTCATTTTTGAATTTTCACAGATATTAGAAAGTGGGTGCTTAGATGATGAAATAGCATACAAGAAATAAGAAGGGTCAAATGGCAAATGACCAACTATGGATTAATGGATCAAGAATCTGTGGTATATATACACAGTGGAATACTATGCAGCTCTAAGAAAGAAAAAATCATGGAATTTGTGCAACATGCATAGAGCTAGAGGATAATATGAAATCAGAAGGAAAGGAATAGATACAAAACACTCTCATATGATGGATTTGAAGATACAATAAGGTAGGAACAAAGGACCAAAGGCAACAAAACACAACAAGAAGAACTGATCTACATAACTGAGTTGATGAAGGGGGTGTTTGGAAGAGAGGGGCATTGAGGGACCCTTAGGGGAGGGAGATGGATACACTGGTGATGCGTGTGGTGTTGAAATTATGTACATGTGAAACAGTCATTAATGGTATTGTAAATCACAGAGACTCAATCAAAACATTTTTTAAAGATGAATGTTTACAGCCTTGGAAAAACATAATTTATTATGCATTTCCTAAAGTAAGTTGTTAAGAGGAACACTGAATAATTGGTATTGCTTGAAAATAGAGTTCTATGGTCATATATATTTTGTCAACACAAGTTAAACAAATTTAAACAGCTCTGCTTACTGAAGGGTTTCTCAGAATCTTTTATGTGAATAGTTTTGTGAATCTCTAAAAGAGATAGAAATTCAGTTTTTTAAGCCTTCACGTTTGGGTGGGAGGTCTGGGGCAGAATCTTTTATCTTCTTATCTGGTTTCTTATGCCTTCAAGTCTTCCAAGGAGCACATTTTCAGAAACACAAGTCTTTTATAAAACATTTGTTTCTTTATAGTTGGGGAGACTGAATTGATAACAAAGACACTGTTTGTGTTTTCTAATGAAACAATGATAGAAATTCAATATCAAATATTACATATTTTAGAAATTCTTAGTAAATGTAGAACAGCTTAGTTTGGTTTAACAAAAACATGAAGGGGTCAGAGTGATAGTACAGTGCATAGGGCGTTTGCCTTGTGCACAGCTGATTGGATTCAGTCCCCAGCATCCCATATGAGGCCCTGGGCCACCATATGTTATTCCTGAGTGCAGAGTCAGGACAAAGCCCTGAGCACCCCCGAAAGAAAACACGAAAGTTTTTGACTCTACTGACAAGAAGGGACGAAAATATCCAAGTTTTCTATGCTAGTAAATCTGTCTCCTAGAGTAACTACAAGAAGAATAACAATTATTCTGACAACTGAGATTCTGAATGAATTATTCATATACACAAACTTGGAAATTGTTCTGCATTTGCATATGTGGCTATCCTTATTGTAGTCTATGGCTCTTCAGGTTTCACTCTTCGATATAAGTTTCTAATTATATATGGTATTGTAGAGGCATGTATCTGTGTGTGCATATGTGTATAAACATATATATGCTTATCTAGATCTTTTTCACTTCTTGGTGTGATTTCTTTTCCTTAATATGATAATAAAATGAAATTATTTGGAAGAGAGAAAAAACCAAATATTATAACATACAATTGTCTTTTTGTTGATTCTTTTTGGAGTTAAAATTGGAGTTATTTTTAAAAATTGCAATATATTTTTCAGTCTGATTGGCACTTAGCATTTGCACCTGCTGTTGCTGTTCTTACTAGCTCCTGTTTATTAAGAACAGGATCACACCATCCTCGGGAGTGGCTCTTATCTCTCTGCTCTGGGTGTGCAACTTCTTCCTCTTGGGAGAAATCTGAATTCTCTCTTGAACACCTTTTCTTATCTACCTCCATTTTACTATAATTTTTCTGCTTCACTTAAAAACAAAACTCACTACATATCAGACACTGCTGAGGATCTTTGTATTCATGGTCCTCACAACTCTTAGGTATCTTTTCACATTTTTATTTATTTATTTATTTATTCATATTTTTTATTGAATCATAGTGAGGTACGGTTACAAAGTTTTCATGTTTGAGTTTCAGTCATACAATGATTGAACACCCATCCCTCCACCAGTATACATTTTCCACCTCCAATGTCCCCAGTACCCCTCCACCCATCCCAGCCCTCCCCCACTTCTATGGCAGACAAGTTCCCTCTTTCTCTCTACTTTTGGGTATTATGGTTTGCAATACAGATACTGAGAGCCCATCGTGTTTGGTCCTTTATCTACTTTCAGCACACATCTCTCATCGCGAGTGATCCTTTCAACCATCATTGCTTCTCTATCTCAGCTGCCTTCTCCCCCAGTTCATGAGGCAAGCTTCCAGCTATGGAGCAATCTTCCTGGCTGTTATCTCTACTGTCCTTGGATGTTAGTCTCATATTATGTTATTTTATAGTCCACAAACAAGAATTTTCACATTTTTTAAATGAAGAGCTAATATTTTTATTTAGTTGCACTATAGCACTGTCCTCCCGTTGTTCATCGATTTGCTCCAGTGGGCCCAGTAACATTATGAGACTTGTTGTTACTGTGTTTGGCATATCGAATATGTCACGGGGAGCTTGCCAGGCTTTGCTGTGCAGGTGAGATACTCTTGGTAGCTTGCCGGGCTCTCTGAGAGGGTCAGAGGAATCGAACTCGGATTGGCCATGTGGGCCGCGTGAAAGACAAACACCGTACCGCTGTCCTTCGCTACTTTAGGTAATAGAGTTATAGCAGCATTCAAGTTTGTGGTATTGCTGTACAAACTTACTGCCCACTGTTACCAAAGTGATTATCACCCTCCCCCTGTCCTGTCCCTATGTCACTACTGGCCAGAACTTCCTTCCCTCTCACCTATTCCCCCATTACTAGTTGACAGTTCTGGTTTTGGTGCATACTGTTACTTTCCTGAGCACCACCCATGTACTCACACCCTCCACCTAATGTCCCTGTATTACTTTCAGTTAATCTATTTGTTCCCCTTACCTCTTGCTCCCATATCTGCAACTCTCAGGTCTGCATTTCATTGTTCAGTGTTTATTATTAATTGATATTGTCTATACCCCTGATTTGTTTCTCTATATATCACATGAGTAGGATCATTTTTTGTTTGTCCTTCTGCCTCTGTCTTATTTTTTCACTCAGTATGATAACCTTCCAATTCTAATACTCAGATACTTTTATAGATAAGAGAGTTATGACTGGGCCTAGTGATGTAGCTCAATGGTAGAATACTTGCTTTGTGTGTGGGGGGGTGGGTAGGTTCAGTTCCTGGTACACAAAAATAAAAAATTAAAACCACAGAATTATGACTAATAGAGATGAACAGAGATAATCTCAAGTAAGAGTCCTTAAAATTTTGGCTAATAAAATGCATTGCAAGAGCTAGGGATGTGACTTGGTGCTAGAGTGGTTGCCTCACATATGTGATATGTGGGTCCAAACCTCAACACCTCAATAGCTAAAATGCACAGCAAAGTGTATGTCTATATATTTGCCTAAATTTTAGCTGCTGTTTATTTTTCTAGAATATATAAATGATTAATATATGTATTCTTATTTCATAAGGCAGGAGTGGAGTCTATCACAACACTTGAAAGATTTTGATTTCTTCTCCTTTGTGGGCAGTGTCTAGTACTTAATTCTTAAGTGCGCTTCTTAGTTGCTCTGTTTAATTCTGAGAAATTAGCAACTGAGATTTATCCCTTTCTAGAGAACAGCGTGACCATCATCAAAGTTTACATGTGTTATGAATTTCAAAGGGCTAAAGAAATTCTGAGAAAGGCTTTTATATCATGGTGAAAGAAGCAATCAGTGAGGAGATAGAGAAATTGGCTGGGGAACGAAGGAAAGAATATGACTTCTTCCAAGATTCACTAAATATTAGACTTTTTGAGATACAGGAAGTAGCTAAAAGGCGATTTTATTGCTTTCAAAGGTCCTGGCCAGATTTA